AGGAGCGTGCACTAATATTTTCAGTTCCATTCGTTTGCACGTTGTCTCAAGGACAAGCCCACAATAGGGGAAACTCAGGCGCCACCCATTGGAAACAAATATTTCAGGAACTGATTATATTGTGACACCGGCTTAAGTGTTGATTTAACACTGATGGGTTGAAGATGAATAGACATAAGATGAAAAACCACAAGGCAAAATGTATTTTAACAGTAATACCTGAGCATTTACAGCGACAACTCAAAATATTTTGCCATCATTTATGCCAATGAAATTGATTTGATCTTTGCAGAATTTGAAACATCTTCACCAGATATGCTTTTGTCTCATTTGCTCTCAAATCAGCCACCTCCAAGATCAAAGATGGATATATTGTGCATCACAACTCAATGATACTCACCAGTGACAGTAACACTAAAACTCCTAATGATGCTAAATCTGCTGCTGCTGATCTGTAGTTTATAACGTCCAGAGTCTGTGGTTCTGGTGTTTGTGATGTTCAGAGATCCAGTCTGATGATCCACCTTCAGTCTGTTAACGCACTGTAACGCGATGATATAATTATGTTTCGTGCCTTTATTTCTTCTGACTGCATAAAAACAAAAGTTTTTCGTACAATGCTGTGTAAATGTTAATTTATGGTGTTAGCCTAATTTATGGTGTTAGCCACCCTGTGCTCTCATATTTAGGCTACTGCTCGTTTTATTTACCTGAATTTCGAGAGCATTGCATTAGTGATTTACTGTATCACATACAATGCGGTATGTTCTGCTAGATATTTTGGCAAGTCATCGCTCTCTAGTGTCCAAAGCAGAAAATCACATCTCTAATAATAGTGCTACTTTTACCTGATAGAGAGCGATATAAATAGATACTGCTGTTCTCATAGAGGGAAAGTGAAGGAACCAAAAATTATAAATAAGGTGCACAGGGCTAAAATTAAAACACACAACTGACCTTTCGCACTTGAATTATGTGAAATGTGAAATTTTCACTTGGAAGTGAAAATTATGAATGGACCTGACATGATTCTAACATTAAATCAAAACAATACAATCATGCAGTGGCCAATTTCCTTTAATATCTGGCTTAAATATCAGATCTGTTCTGCAGTGCAGGATAAGTCCAGTTTGCAAACATTAGCTATTTAAATGCTCCATTTTGTTTTACGTAAGGAGTTGCTTGCTCTCAAGAAAAGGTCGAAGGTTGAACCCCTAAAATGTTAAAGGTCAACATGCGTCAGAGAGTTTTGGAAAGTAAAGGTCAGATTCCATCTGTGTGTTAGAGAGAAATATCAATGTACAGAGACACACTGGACTCAGATGTTAACTTTGTCTTAAGTCATTAATGAGTCACTAATTAAGTCACTAATGATTTCACAAACAAACCTACTGACCCAAGAGTGAACAAAATCTGTTTTTATGGCACATGAACAAAGAAACTTTGTTTTCCAGAAAAGAAATGCTTTTGAGGGCTCAACTTTAAGGCACTTCGTCATTGGCTGAAAATTGTAGAATAGGAAATGTTAAAAATACTTTATGAGAGTGCAAGACTTTAATACAGAACAAACTTCCTTTACATTGCATTTTATCCAAAATAAAATCTTACTGTTAATTTACAACATTTAGACAAATCTTTCATACTGTTTTAATGAAAAAACAACTAAACAGTCGTAATGTCCATAATGATGTTTACATGTGTTCTGGATGGTTCTGTAGGCAGGTGATAAACTCTTTGACTGGGTGACCCTGGAAACAGATCTGATTGTGTTACATTTCCGCGAGTGCTTGCGGTGTTCGGCCAATCACAATGCACTGGGTCAGCTGGCCAATCAGAGCAGACTGCGCTTGTCGGAAGGAGGGACTTTGTAGAAAACGAAGCGTTTGAGAGAGGCGGGGCATAGAGGACCTACAATAATGTACAGTATTAGAAAAATAATGTGTTTTTTGAACATTAAAGCATGTCAACATATTCTGTTACACCAAATACACAAAATAATGATCTTTAAAAAAGCATCATATGACCCCTTTAACCAAACCTTTCGAAAACAAAACTTGAATACTTTCTGATTATATAGTGGTAGGCTTTCTTAGAAAGGAAAATTTTAAAGATAAAAAAGAAGAATTAAGGAGAATCAAGAATTTATGAATAATTTATTCCTATTGTCTGAATAATAATCATGTAATAAATAAAAAAGTAATTGTAGTCTAATTACAAGTATTTAAAAAAGTAATATAATCTAATTACAAGTACTTGATTTTTGGAATCTGTTTACGCAATCCAGATTAGCCTACATGTAATCGGTTACTACCCAGCACTGATTGTGAAGAACTCAAAGATAGTTACTTTTCCACCAGGTTTTTGTGTTTGAGGATCTGATGAACTTCTGCTGCAGTTGCCGGACCTTGAAGTTTCTGGCCATTCAGCAGTTCCTTCTCAAGCTCCTCGATAGACTGACAACAAACCGAAATACTTAACGCTGCACGAGAACACTGAGAGAAAATAAGGTAACGTTCAAACCTGATGGCCAAACATACTTTCCCCGTTCTAGCGAAAGCTTCTCCGATTTTGCGGTTGCGTCCTCCGTAGCAGGTGGTGATGAGGTCGGCGACGCCGCAGCTCTCCAGAAACGTGGTGGGAGAAACCGGACTGGCTGTGCAGAATATCCGAGCGAAGGCGATCATCTCCATCAAACCCAGACGGATGACGCCTTGGTGTTGTCACCAAATTCCAGACCGTCACAGAAACCAGTGCCCACTGCGACAATATTCTACAATAAAAAAACATCAGTTCTTGACTTTTATGCCACTAAATGCTTCAGAAATAGAATGAAAATCTATGGATGGATGTTTACCTTTAACGCCCCACAGATCTCCACAACGTCAGCCTCTTCCACCACTGTCACACGGAAGTTTTGTGTTTGCATCAGTTCCTTCAACAGGGGTCCGTGAGCTTTGCTTTTACACCCTGAACACAAGATTATTATTGATTACTTGAAGAAATATAGTGGCTGTATATAGAAGAAATATAGTGGCTGTATGTGCTTACCAATGGTAGTTTCACAGAATTTCTCATCAGCGACCTCATTGGCCAGATTGGCTCCCATCAGCACGGTCATGGTGATGCCGAGTTTTTCCCTAATGACATCAGAGATCAGTTTCAGTCCGTCAGGACCCTCATCCACACCCTTACGAAACACACACAGTGGTATAACAGTGCTGCAGGGCCACATACAAACTGAAATGTAACTACATAAAGAAAGACACTGACCTTAATGAGGGACATTCCCACAGCGTCCGTTTTGATGTGACCCTTAATGGTGTCACAGACTCGGGACACAAATTGGTGAGGGATAACGAAAATGAGGATATCTGCACCCTTCACTGCATCCAACAGATCCGGAACCGCCACCTAAAGAAAAACAGCCGTTTATCACTGTTTATTTATTATATCAAACACAACTTCAATGCTCCTTTCCATGAGTTTCAAGATGGCTTCCTTACATAACTTCACTATTCAAGATCCAAATTTCCATTGAAGTGCTACATTTATCATTGTTAACAAGTGAACAGCAATAATGGTTAAAGAGTTCAAGGGTTCTTTAGATGCTTTATGTTCTCACCACGTTGGGCGGCAGCTTGTGTCCAGGCAAGTATTTTACATTCTCGTGTTCGGTGTTGATGATTTCAGTGAGTTTGCGTCCGTTGACCATCTCCTCAAACACCCACATGTTCACAGTGTTTTCAAACGTGTTGTATTTTGCTGCATTGGCGCCCACTATCTTGGCAATGGCAGAACCCCTGAGGAAACGAAAGAATTTTGACAAACTGTAATGGATAAACAACAGCCAATACTGCTGCTGTAAGGACATCTGCACATACTGAGGGCTTAATTAACAGAAGAACCAGATTCATTACTGTGACACACATTCTCTAAATTACAGATCGAGTCCTGACTTTGTTAAAACTGGAAACCAGTTAATGCATGTACCACTGGTTTTAGGTAACTATTATGGAATACAATAATATTCTTTGAATATATTCAAATATTATAAAACTTTTACAATTGTGTCTGAAATCATAAATAAATCCTTCTAAATATAAACTTAATAATCCTCTAACACTGGAAGCATGAAACATGCAATTAAGATACTAATTATGGACGATAATAATAATCCAGTTCATATCATATTACAGCTTTGCTTCAGTAGGCTATCTGCAATGCCATAAAAAACCTGAAGTTTATGGGTCAGAAAGAAAAGACTGCAGCCTATTCTTTTTGTTTAATGAGGACCAGTGGACACCTGGGCCAATCATTACTCAGCAAATATTACCTCAGCAACTCCAGCAAGCCAAACAATGCACATTTGAACGTTAAATGCAATGCATGAATGTAATAAATTATAAATAAAAAAATAATTTTAATTTTCAGAAAATTCACTAAATCTAAAATCTATCTGTAATATTCAAAGAGAGAGGTTAAGTATTCCTGGTTTACACTTGAGATCCGCAGAGGGAAGCCGTGCAACATAGCCTATACCGCATTTATTCAACTTCCTAAAATAGAAATAAATTCCGTTTGTGCCTCAAAACAGGCTGTTTCCAAATACCCAACACTTAAGCCAGTAGCTTTGTATTAATAAACATAAACCAGCAAAAACAGTATACAACAATCACACAGTGTAAATGTCACGCACCAGTTGCCAGAGCCGATAATGCAGAGTTTCTTGGCCGCCATACTGCGCGTCTGACCCGGCTGGACCGGCTGTAGGACTTCGGTGTGTTTTGTTAGAGAGCCGCTGACGGACCGGAGACAACCCTGTGGGTGCGCTTTTAAATAGCCAGTGGACTCGCCTCACTCCCCTTAACGCACATTGGCTAATTTCTTCTCATACACGAGGGCAAGTCAAGACGGGACTGTACTGACGATAATGTCTTATTATTAGAAACTCGTGATTCGTACTGTATTTAGGCTGCGAATTATGTGGGATTTAACTGCCTTTAAGACTCGAAACCACGAAGGTGCAATTTCTGTAGGGCAAGACAAGTGTCAATAGCATTTTTAAACATAGCTATCACAAAAGGACGGTTAAATACGCGACCTTGCGTATTTCACACAAAACAGACGCTCACGAGACTCCTGAGGTAAATATATAGTTCGACGAAATGTAAGTAGGATAGACATATTATTAATAATAATTGTTTTATTTGAATGAAATAGAAATGCTTCAGACCCAAAACAGGTTTGTGCTAAGGGGCAGTCGTGGGGACCGGGGCTCTCTCCATCTTCAATACCACGATTGAGGTGAGACCCTTGAGCAAGGCACCGAACCCCCAATTGCTCCCCGGGCGCCGCAGCATTGGCTGCCCACTGCTCCGGGTGTGTGTGTGTGTGTGCACTTGGATGGGTGAAATGCAGAGCACAAATTCCGAGTATGGGTCACCATACTTGGCCACAAGTCACCTCCTTTCCTTTCCTAAAATCTTTCATAAAGTTCAGTTGGCATTTAGGCGACAAGTATTTGCCTCACAGATGATTAGTGTTTGAATAGCCAGGAACACCACTTTTTTGTTGAAAATAGGCTCCTTTTCCAACTCCCCTAGAGTTAAACAGTTGAGTTTTACCGTTTTCGAATCCATTCAGCCGATCTTCGGGTCTGGCGGTATCACTTTTAGCAGTATGCAATGATATTACGCAGCGCCTGAAAATAGGCTAACTTATGTCAACATAACCAACGTGACCACCTGCTTGCACAGGGAGTGTGCTGGGGACTATTTTCAGGCACTGCGTAATATCATTGATCCTGCTGCACCCATAGTACGGCAGCAAAGTTCCTTGATTATTACGCCGGAATGAGAGTATAATTCCTAGCCATATCGGCCTAGAAAATCGCAACTTTTCATTTTCCGTCGATCTTAGTACACGATGTAACTAACGGTTTAACTCTAGGGGAGTTGGAAAATGAGCCTATTTTCAAAAAAAGTGGAGTGTTCCTTTAAAGTCTTTAGCACTTGACTTCTAAATGCTTTGAATTACTTGAGCGTAAGAACCCATGGCCCTGTCTGCAGCGCATCTATAAAATATTAAAACACTTGACTGTTTTCCCAGACATTTTGTGGGTATAGCCATGACTGGTTAGTACTCGCCTTGGCAGGTTTTTCACGTTGTCATCCTTTCAGAGTGACAACTTGACTTTAATGACGATAATTAATCAAATAAACCAAAAAAACTATAAAGGCAATTCTCTAAATGTATTAATACATATCACAGCGAGGTTAGATTGGAAGTACTTTACAGTCAAGGGCAAAGCTTGTGACCAAAAGATCTATAATCAAACAGGTCGATCAGCATTACATCTAATCTTGTGGATCTAAAACGACTATTGAACAGAGGTCTTCTGAAAAAGTCTTATTTACTGAGAGTTGTAGAAAATGTTAACCAGTAAGCTTGACTTTAATGCCAACAGACTTGTTTGAGGAGCTTCCTCCAAATAATTCATCTTCACAGAGCTGAGGTACTAAACTACGTCATTATCCGCCATCTATGCTTAACTAGACTAGATCTTCATAAAGCTCATATTATGAGACCATTAAAATATCAAAGGCAAAATCAATAACTTTAAAATTAATCAATGACCCCTCCAACTGGTTGGTTAATATGGAAAGCAGTGAATGAGCTCAAACATTACAAAAACTATGGATGTTTGTATGCATGCCCGTTTTAGGGCATATTGTAAAAGTTTATCTATTGTTGTATCAGAATAAAATAACAAAATATAACTTAACTTTGTTCTCTTTTGTAATACACAGTCAATTAGAAAATGCAGGGTATAATATAAATTTAAAATTGAGATCATGCGGTTATGAGTAGTATGTAATTTAACAGATATATGCTGCTAAATTACAGTTGTATACCGTAGATAACAAAACTGCATTTTGCTGTTAATTTTAAAAACGGTAGCACACTGTATTTTTACAGTATGATGCTGGCAACCACAGCTGCCAGTAGATTACCGTTTTTATACAGGGACATTTTTTACAGAGTACTGTCCTGGTTAACCAACTTTCAAGCCTCTGGCAGCAAATATATGGACTGTGCAAAATCCACCTGACTCATACCGAACACAAAAAAGGCAAGAGAATCTGAAGAAGTAATATTGTGAACAAATAGCTTATATGCTACTTCCTACAGTCAAGTCTAAGCAAACATTTCCAGTTTAAGACACCTAAGATTAGTGAGGTCAAAGCTTCAAAAGACAAACTCTAATGTTTGTTACCTGCTGGAGGTATTTATCACAGTTAATGAACTCTCGTTCATGAGGGTCCTGGAGTTTGTGGGTCTTCACGTACTGCCACAGAGCCTGAATGATCACGGGCCGCGTTTGAGTGTGGATTCCCAGCAACCGGGCAAGTCTGGGGTCCAACTTAAACTGAGGAGGCTAGAAAGAGAACACTTTGTACCATTAGTCACAGTTACTCACATTTACTAATAACGTGGAGTGGTGCCACCTGCTGGTAGTTTCTGAAGAACAGCAAGGGCTATGTTTGGAATAGCATACTTCATGCATTATGTATACAATGTATATTGGTGCTTTGTCATGTTTGTCATCACCTGGTAGTCCAGCATGAGCAGCACAGTGCAGCGGACGCCAACATCTCCAGGCCTCTTCACCTGAAATCCATCAGTCTCCTGAGTCGTGGCTGTTCGGTGCCACTGGAAACAAGACAGACACTTTAATTATGGCGCTTTCCACTGCATGGTACGGCACAGTACAGTTCACTTTTGGGGGGTTTTCCACTGGGTACAGTACCTGGTACCTTTTTTAGTACCACCTCGGCTGAGGTTCCAAGTGAACCGTACTGTTACCAAAATGTGACGTCCAAGTCCTGCTGATCACGGATTGGCCGGAGAGAATCGTCACTACCTGCATCACTGAACTTGCCACACAAACACAACAGAACCGCTAGATTTAAATCAGCACAGCCAGCGAAGGATCGAACACAACTGTTTTGAACGAGCTAACCTTTTTTAACAACCAAAAAGTGACTGTTTCGGTGTCTGTTGAGGAAAGTACAGACGTTCCTCTCGTTGATAGCAGAGGAGCGGATCCAGTGAGAGCTTGATGGGGCGACGCGGAATGAAAAAGTTTTTCAGGAGTCGCGGCAATAGAGGCGGCGCAACTATAACGACATGTGAATAATCCCGCCCACTCTAAAGCGGTACTGAACTGCAGTGGAAACGCAAACTGAGCCGAGCCGTACCACGCAGTGGAAAAGCGCCATTAGTGACAAATGGCACAAAAGTGGCAATACAAGTGATCTAGTGGACAGTACATCAGTAAACTAAATTTAAAGCACTACAGTTGAGAAATGCACATTTCTGCATCTCACCTCCACCAAATGATTGTCAGGCCCATATAAGTCTTTGTCCAACTCGATCACTAAAGACTTGAAAAAAGAAGAAAACTTCCTCTTCTGCTTGGTGGCTTCATACTTGGACACAGCATTCTGAGACAGAAACACATTCAGAGTTTTCAGAAATAATAAACAATAAAGAGTTCGACTTGAAAGCCTGTGAGATGACAGAATCTCATTTACGTCTTCAAGAAGTCGTCCCTCCACACGCAACTCCCAAGATGCAACGGTTCCTTCACCGTCCTCTGCATCTGGTTTGGCAGGGTTGAAGGTGTTGGAGATAAATATCCGTAGTTTTCTTTTTTGCTGCACAAAACAAAGTTACACCTCCTGAACAATTGTAGTTCAAGATGGAAGCTCAGACACAATTTTTCTTCTAAAGGAGTCAGGACAATTTTAGTAAAGAGTCTGCATGTACCTTGATGGGTCTTTTGAGAGCTTCCTGAATATCGAGTCTTTTGCGCATGATGGTCTGGTCGAGCTTTCTCTCAAACGCTAGCAGGTCCATGTACGCCTGAGACTCTGGAACAAGCTCTCTGATCTGAAACGAAGCCACAGAGAAAATCAAGATCATCTACAGCTTTTTGAACCATATCTGTTGAGGGTTTTTAAGTGTCTATTTGAGATCCATTTCTTTTTGAATAATGCATTCAGCTAATATCATCCATCAAGGTTTTTCTTACTTGCATTGGTTGAAAAGTATACAGGAAAAAAGCATACCAATTACATTAACATTGAAGAGCTTTTGCAAAAAAAAAAAAAAAGCAGGTATAAATAAATAATCAAGGCTATCTATTTGTACTGGTAATAACACATCTTGAACAATTAAAGACACTTCAGACATTTGGGGATTTCCAATCTAACAAATTTCATGGCCACTTACTCTCTGAGGTAGGATTTTATCTGCCATTTTCTTCTTCTTGGCACTGAAATGAAAAAGAGCATTGTGTGAGAGAGTGATGGATCTATTTTAGCACTTCACATAAATTGTTACTTAATCATCAAATGAAGTGTTAACTGGACTTACTGTTGGTTGCGATTCTGTTGCTGGACCTGTTGGATCTGATTTGGCGGCGGTCGCTTGCGGGACGGGTCCATGACTGGCATACCGGGGCGAGACACTGGACTAGCCCCATAACCTGGGGGTCCCATGGAGGGTCCCTGAGGGGTCATTCGATTAGTTGGAGGCATTCCTGGTCTCTGCAAAGGCAGCAATGAAGGACAGTTATCCAAATGGGCAAAAAGCACGAGACCAGCTGTTGTGATGTGAATTCTTGTTTTGGCTTAGTATTTACAGAGCAATATGAGATGGCAATAAGACTTATCATATAGCATAGTACAAATCAATATTTGACCAAATAATAATACATATAATTTAAATATTTACATATAATAAGGCTTTAATTATAGAAAATTAGATACAAGTTGTTGAAATTAAACATATTTAGAAAATTATTGGATTTTATATTGCGGTCATAAAAAGGGCAACCACTATAAATACCAAAGCATTTAGTGATTTGTTTTCAAATACGATTCTGTTAAACAGCACCATTGATCTGGCTGATGGTTCCCCTTTCATTGTAAATGTCAAGAGCCAAATACTGGAGTCTATTCATGCTTGAAAAGGGCACTTAAGTACACAAACTGTCGAGTTCATTTATCAAGTCCCAAAAAGAAAATGCAATGTGTTAATTACTTTATGTAAATCATAAATAACCTTGAATCTCAACAACTGGAGAGTGCAAATGCGAGCTACTGCTTTTATCCTAAACAAAAGAGTACATGTGTTCAAGGTTTCGCTGAAGTTCCCACACGAGCACAAAAAAAAATAATACATCCTTGAATGCAAGACGTGGCTAGCACAAACTCTCAGCATTTTTTTCCCCTAAATGTGAAACTTGTGATAGTCAGCAATCCTTGACGATAAAACGGTATCGATATTTATCGACGGTACACCTTCTTCGATAACGATATCATTTTTTTTCCGATATAGGCACGTGCTATGAGCGACGCAGACAGCACGCACAAACACGAACACATGCTGAAATGAGTACTGTGCTTGCCTGTGATGAGGCAATTGTGAATAAAGAATGAATATTAGTCGAATTTAAAATAAACAATTGCATCTGAATGTTAGGAGTGGGTCAGGGAACGTCATCAGTAGCGCACGAGATGTAAGTGACGTTGTAGTTTAATGTTTTGTTAGTCTAGCCCACGAGACGCTCCGCTGCTGTGCTATTCATTCAAAATATTAGAGAAATATAGAAGCTCAATGCGGAGAAGATCTTGATTAGGTGAAAACCGAAACCAAGCCATTCACACAACGCATATGCAGCGCATTTTTAGATGGACAAATATAACTGCTGCACTCGCGTCTCACACAAGAGATGTATAGAAAGCCATGAAAATTTTAAAACAGTTTAAACTTTTAGAAAACGCGTCACGAATTTGAGGAGGTTTATTCCTTTTCACTGCATCTCATATGTTTTTAAATGCAATCTGTGTGAATGGCGCTTCGGCTCTTTGAATTAAGCAATGCATAAATACATGATGCTGTTTTGTTCATAATTGTTTATTCATGAAATTATATTTGATTTTTATAAGTTAATTTGGACGTAATGCACATTTTATTATAGACCGTTTCCTTGCGTTGACAATTTAAATGCGCTGCATTATTTTGCTCATTGCGCCCTCCTGTGGCTTCTGGACACAAGACAAAAGTTTCCTTAAAACCTATTTAATCTGCATATAAAACATTAGAAATGACTGATTGTTAAAACAAAAAATATTGGATGTTTGTCACAATAAATAGGGGTAGTTTAAAAATACAGTGGTTAAATACAAAAATTATATTGCTCTGTTTAAAAAAAATGTCAATAATTATCGATACATTTTTAAGCTATATCGCGCAGCCCTACTTGACCAACACAATAGCCTTTTACAGGTGCATCTCAATAAATTAGAATGTCGGGGAAAAGTTCATTTATTTCAGTAATTCAACTCAAATTGGGAAACTCGTGTATTAAATAAATTCAATGCACACAGACTGAAGTAGTTTAATTGGTTCTTTTAATTGTGATGATTTTGGCTCACATTTAACAAAAACCCACCAATTCACTATCTCAACAAATTAGAATATGGTGACATGCCAATCAGCTAATCAACTCAAAACACCTGCAAAGGTTTCCTGAGCCTTCAAAATGGTCTCTCAGTTTGGTTCACTAGGCTACACAATCATGGGGAAGACTGCTGATCTGCTGATCTGACAGAAGACAATCATTGACACCCTTCACAAGGAGGGTAAGCCACAAACATTCATTGCCAAAGAAGTTGGCTAGTTGGCTGGTGCTGTATCCAAGCATGTTAACAGAAAGTTGAGTGGAAGGAAAAAGTGTGGAAGAAAAGCTGACCAGCTTTTTGAAGATGCTGATTTCATTTTCCAGCAGGATTTGGCACCTGCCCACACTGCCAAAAGCACCAAAAGTTGGTTAAATGACCATGGTGTTGGTGTGCTTGACTGGCCAGCAAACTCACCAGACCTGAACCCCATAGAGAATCTATGGGATATTGACAAGAGGAAAAGGAGAAACAAGAGACCAAAAAATGCAGATGAGCTGAAGGCCACTGTCAAAGAAACCTGGGCTTCCACACCACCTCAGCAGTGCCACAAACTGATCACCTCCATGCCACGCCAAATTGAGGCAGTAATTAAAGCAAAAGGAGCCCCTACCAAGTATTGAGTACATGTACAGTAAATGAACATACTTTCCAGAAGGCCAACAATTCACTAAAAAAATTTTTTTATTGGTCTTATGAAGTATTCTAATTTGTTGAGATAGTGAATTGGTGGGTTTTTGTTAAATGTGAGCCAAAATCATCACAATTAAAAGAACCAAAGACTTAAACTACTTCAGTCCGTGTGCATTGAATTTATTTAATACACAAGTTTCACAATTTGAGTTGAATTACTGAAATAAATGAAACTTTTCCACGACATTTTAATTTACTGAGATGCACCTGTATATATGTCAGAAGGCTGGTGTGCTCAGTTCCTTCAGTTTTTAGTTCCGTCCATTTCTGCTCGACATGCCGAACCCACTCTGGACACGGCAGATCCATTCAAATATCCTGTCAATAATCTATTACCCTACAAATAAAAAGGCACGAAACTGTTCAAACACTTTGAATTTCGATGCGGTAAAGTGACTTCCTGTTGAAACATTTATCAATCTTCAAAATACAGGCCCAGTATTCGCATGTAATGCGTACTTTGAACCTTTTTGACTCCAAGCCCTGAAAGTGCATATATAAATATGTATACTATAAATATACACACACACACACACACCTAACTTAAGTTAGATGTATTTTCATCAATAATAATATAACGTTATTAAGGGGGCGTTTTAGCATTTTATTTTAGATTAAAATTAGATTATTTTAGTGTATTAATAATAATTTATTGGTTTAAACCCTTAAATTCAGCACTTTGTTGAGGCCCTTTCCAGCCCCCCTTCTTTGAGTAATCTCAAATCTACATTAATATTTTTGTAAATCTATAAAATATTGTTCTTTTATTTCACTATATATGTTAAATTATATTTTTAAGGCACATATTTGAATATGTTATTAATATGTTAGGAATTCTTTTTTTGGCAATAGCAGTCACGTAGCGACAATAACTTTTAACGTTTGATTGGTTTTGCTTTACTCATCAACACAGACGTCTATTTAAAAGCAGAAATGCTGTGAGAATCACTAGGATGGAGGGTGCATTAATTTTCCCAATAGGTGGCGATATTGTTCCACGTTACAATCTTCCTTTAAAAAAAAAAAAAACACTAGAAAAGTGCACTGTCTCTCACTGTGTCTCAGTTGTCGCCACGCATTTTGTTCTATTAATATCTCTTCTGTTGGTCAAGCTCTCTAGAGACTTCATTATCTATTGTATCTCCAGTGGGAAATAGGGTCTGTTTAGAGAGTCAGTTATGTCAATAGAGACAATGCTTTCAGATTAGGTCTATTGAAGATTCTCCACTGAAAATGAGATTTTCTCCATGACATTATTATAATTAGTGTTTATTCAATGTCCCAGGAATTTGTATTACAAGTCTGAATCTCCTTCATAAGGATTTATAGGATTTGCAAGGCTAATTTGTCGGTGGTTTGGTTTGTTCTGAGAAATGAGAAAGAGGAAAGAGACGGAGCGAAAAAACACTACTGCTTCCTTCATCTGTGGTCACTTCTTATTTATTTATCTATTTATTACTATATAGGCCTAGAGAGATTTCAGAAAGATTATGCCACTTTCTTTTTTTCACCTCAACAAAACGTCATACAGCTCTGACTGAGCTTGATGGTATCTTTGGCACCATTATCAGAAGATAGGCTTATATTAATCTGAATTTTGTAATGAAAAATATTTAACTTTGTCATAACTTGCTTTCACTTTATGAAGTGTTCCTGTGTCTGCATATGAATATTAATTTTGTATCTGTAAGCAGCTGCTTCTGTGAGGTCCTGGTGCTTATCACACATGTGGTTGTTGCTCTATAAGAGCTTCAAGTTCTACTATTGTTTCATATTTGTGTTTCAGCAGCTGCTATTAATGCACCCTGTGATCTAGGGCACCTCTTGCATCTTGTATTTTTGTGACTGTCTTTGTTGTTGCCTGTGGGTGGAATGTTTTCCAAGAACGTAGTGCTTTCTGATGTTTTACCATCTTTCAAAAGAGTTGTCTTTATTTTACAATGCTCGTCTAATGAGTCTTCATTTGCATGTAATCACTTCAGTTTTACTAAATGTAAGTCAGTTCATGAATGAACTTCACTCTTAAGTTTAGTATATGATGCAATTTTTATTGTTTCTCGTGTTACTTAAAATTCCTACTTCAATTGCAATTAAATTCACTCTCAGCTCTTGCTGTAAATTATACAGCAAACCTTTTAACTTGATACAAAAAAAAATCAAATTTACATATGAATTTGTGAGTTTTTTTTAAATGATAAAACTGTGAATTGAGTACAAAAATAGTTTTTTTTCTTTAAAAAGAAGCAGTTCATGAGAGTCATTGGTTCATGAATCAAACTACACTGGTTGAGCCGTCTGTTTTTGATTCTCTAAAAAGAACCGGTTCATACGAATCATTTGTGTGTGAATTGACTACACTGGTTACGCTGTATTTGTTTCACTAAAAAGAGTCATTTGTTTGTCAAGTGGACTATAATAGTTGCGCTGTATGTTTCTGATTCGCTAAAAATAGTTCATAAAAGTAATTTGTTTGTGAATTGGACTATACTGGTTGTGCCGTATGTTTTTGCTTTGCTAAAAGGAACCAGCTCATAAGAGTCATTTGTTTGTGACCTGGACAACACTGGTTGCTCTGTGTGCTTTTGATTTCCTAAAAAGAATCAGTTTTACAAGTGACATTTGTTCATGAATTGGACTACCAGTGTTTTTTTT